ATTCTGGATTTGTGTTATAATTTTGTAGACTATCAAAATCGTCACAATTCAAAAGAATATTTAAAAAAAAATAAGAATTTTAGATAAACCTTTAGGGTACATCTCTTCGATGAATTTGACATAATGTTATAAAAGTGAAGATACACTGATCAACTTTTTCTTACAAATTAATTGACAATGTCATATAATTTTTGAACTATTATATATTTACATAAAACTTATTTTCAAAATTTCATTATTTTCTGTATATGACACCTTGTATATGATGGATAAATCCACTCCATCTCCCTCCTTGTTTAGGGGCGTTCGGCCTTTCTCGCAAAAGAAGATTTACCTCACTTCCTTCCCAGCAACCGACTTTCTCCTAAATGAAGGAGGGGAAGTGGAGTGGACCTCCCTTCGCGTGGAAAGTCATATGCTCATTAGCATATAATAGAAAGAAGATATTATTTTTTAAACTTTATTCATTAATAATTTTTGAACAAACAGCGATTGCCATCTAAAATTTTTTGAAGATCACTTAGAGTTATGACCTTGACAACATTAGTTAAGGTCAAGGTCATCGAAGAGGTGGCCTCCAATGTAAAGGAGCCTTTATCATGAGTTTTATATAAATATATCTCGAAAACTATGAGATCACTATTAATTTATAAGGAAAAGTTGATCGATACACTCTCATCTCTATAACATGATCTCTATATCAAAATCAAGGTTATCGAAAAGGTATCCCTTAATGTAAAAGTTTACCGAATTTTATTGTGGGTTTTTATATATTGTACATATTAATTGTACATAATAAAATTGTACATAAGTAGGAGCCTGTCTTTATATGGATCTGCAAATTCTATGCAATTTACTAGAATTTTGAGTGTATATTACGTTACATTTTTCTCCGTGCACATATGTGAGTATCGATCTATATGATCTCCATTAATCCTTTACTTGCAATCGATATCTGCGCGTTTAAAAATGTTGAAGTAGAACAAAACAAATTAAGAGTAGGGAAGCGGAGCAAGAGAAGTCAATATTGTCAACCGGTAACTCGGTCAACAACATTTATTTAATGTTTGCATTGGTCATTTTTGTTTAGTCAATACAAAAACCGCAAAAAGAAAGAGAAAATTGTTTAAATTCTAATTAATTTTTACGTCCAGGGGGAGAAGATGAGAAATACAGGAGGAGGGGGAGAGAAGAAGGGAGGGAGAGAGAGTCAATATTGTCAGCCAGTAACTTGGTCAACATTTGTTTATTGTTTGCATTGGTCATTTTTGTTCGGTCAACACAGAAACCACAAATGCGGGCTACCAAATGCGAGCGATGTATATAGGTAACTTTGCAAACATTGTCGCAACTTTCATTTTCACATGCAAGAATGTCACATCAAATGCGACAAACAATTTAGGAAAATTTATTAACATTTCGTTAGGATATTCGTTACGATACACAATGAATCGGCAATCTGTTAAATGCAACATGTATATAAATTTAACTGTTTGTCTCTATCAATTTTTTAAAAATAATTAGACATCAGAAATCCTAGAGGTATTAAAAGGATTCGCATGTCATTGCCAAATAAACATAAGTATTAGAAATTAAAGAGATCTCTAAGAATATAGAATATGAATAATCCATATTTAACTTGTCCTTTTACTTTCTAAATTTAAATATTGCAGAGAGAACCTTCTTTCAAAATACAAATTTCTTAGAAAAATAACAGCATATGTAAGACTAAGAATTTTGCGCTGAGACATGGCTGTGATTATTTACAGAGAGATAGCCATCTATCGCAGGGTATCTTTCGATTTAAAAATGAAATATATTAATATAAAAGAACGACATCCGCGAAATTGAACACATTCCGCATTTATTTTCATTTTTCTTTCCGGTTATGATGTCTAACAATAAGCTATACGCGAATTCGATCGCGCTCGTACGAATCGTTTCATTTCGTTCCGGATGGGAAACGCTCCAGATCATAGGGAACAGGTATTTCTCATAAAGAAGCAATAAAATCGATATTAAACTGTACGGAACAGTGTTCCTTTCGTAAATAAATAATTCTGCGTCGATTCAAGCAAATCGTCGTATACGGATAGTATGCATGGTGTCGTGTAACACAAATTCACCACCGTTTCGCACCCGCATATCGCCGATGCGGTAAATATTCGTTTTCCCGTCATTTACCCAAAGCTCATTGCGCATGCAAACCGTCCGCGTATAAATTTATACAAAATTATATCTCTCTTTGAACATGTCATTCGGATTTACGTGTGTGCGCGTACGCGTATGCGTTTGCACGTTATTCTTTGTTTGCAACGCCAATACTTTTCTCGATGTACATCTGATAAATCCGACATGACATTAATCTGTCGCATGGTACACATGCTGGACGTTAAAATTTAATCGGGCAAGATTTTTCAGATATTTTTATGAATTTAAAATTGACTTTTTTTTATTAAAAACATCCAAGTGCCAATGTTTTTCATTATTAGTAAACGTCCGGAATGCAATTAAATAAAGTTTTATTAGCCACTCAGATTCGAGTGAACATTGAAAGTTTATATATATCGCTGCACACATCGATAGAAGTGACATAAGTAAAAATTTAATATTGTTGAGGTAATGAAAGAAAATCGACCCTAAAGACTAATACATTTTTATTAATGACACATTTGTAGCTCTCTCAATTTGTCATAAAAAAACAGATATATTACTTGTTTTTTGATCGCAATAATTATTTATAATAAAGAATCATTTTTGTATTAGATATACAGTAAAAGAATATTGTTGATGCTGGAATAGTTATAAAAATGTTCTAATGAAGATTATACCATTTTTTCTTAAAAGGTAAGTATATTTTCATTTATCTAGAAATAGATATACCTTATTTCACGTTTGTGATATTGTTTAGTACATTGATAAAAATGTCTAATTGGATTAATTGGAATTCTGGTTAAAAATAAACGAATCAGAACTTTAAATCTATTAGATTTATAGTTGAAATAACGGAATTCCAATTGATATACAATCTTCTGATTTGTCTTTTTTCAACCAGATATTTTTCTCAATGATAGTTAAAAAATAAAATGTTTGAATTTAAACTGTCTTCAAACTTCAAATTTAGAGATGTGACACTTTTCTTCAAATAAATTGGGATGTAACATGTTTAAAATGTAACAACTTTGATAAGGAATGAAATTTACATTATATTAGGGTTGCAAATTTCGAACATTTGACATAGTTTTAAAGAATACATCATAATTAAAAATATAACGTGAAAAAAATTGAAATTATGCATGTTCCTAATGAGAACCAATGTATCGAATGGTTTCAATTTAGAATTTTAAAAATGTTCCACTAAAAGTTGCTAATTTTGAGATATGTCACTTTTCTATCAATGCGACGGTATATACTTTGTTAATTATTAAAATATAATAAAAACATAGTAGTGCGTTAAATTCTAACACGTTGAATAGAACATTTTCCGTACAAGAAGATATCAACTACAAATGCGCTCAAGATTCTGCCATTAAAATTAATGTTTACGAGGCACCTCGTGCACGCAAAGCGTCGAAATCTAATCTGCATTCTGTGTTCCGTTTCACGCTGCAGATGTGCCCATAGTACCAATTGCGCTTTTGGGTTAGTACCGATATCGCCCTTTACGGATGAAAAACATCTGGGGACTGGAAACCTCGGAATGGCACGTGAAGGAGCCATAAAATCGATATTGTAACACGACGAACTATTTCGCGCGGTAACAAACCGCTCCCACGTCGGCCGAAGTAAATCGCGGATCGTCTATACTGTATCGAGGATATACGTGTAACAAACGAGCTGCTCATCTTTCTCTCTCCTTGCTTTTTTCTTTTTGCCTCCTATGAGTCCTTTTCGATGTACACCTTCAAGTCTAAGGCTATAAAGACTGGGTCTCCCGGGTAAAAAGCGGCTTGTTAAGGACGCGAGCCGATCTTTCAGCTTCTAACGGTAAGCACGGACTATATACGTGGACCCAAGGGAGCTTACTACACAAGAAGTAAAGCAAGCCGAAGAAATAGTTGAGATAATACCATAAAATGAGATAATTTTGGCCCAAATTTTAGAAAATGCCTAGACATGTCCAAAATTAGGACATAAAATAATCTTAAAAACGACTCAAAATGTCTTTAAGACGTTTTCAAGATGTCTTATATTCAAATTTTTACATTTGCTGTCTGGACTTTATCGAAATTTGAACCAACTTAACCCGATTTTTAACTACAGTTGTTCCACTTTACGATGTATCTCTATGGTATCCAATTATAATTACAGGTAAAAGTGATTCAATATGATGATAATTTACTCGGTAAATTACGGTAAGTTACTTGATAATTTTGGAAAAACAATAATTTAAAAAAAAATTACGTCTCTCTCTCTCATTGAGAATCCTCTTCAGAAACAAAAAATTCTTACAAAAAAAAAACGCTGCTCACGAAGCAATTGGAAGACCGTCTGGAAAAATCTGGGTATGCGTTCGTGAACGTAATATAGTCATATGAACAAAAATATAAATTTTGTAGAGAATGTGTAAATGTAGTACTTCAGTGTATAAAAATGTAAAAAAAATAAATAGCGGTAAAGTCTATATAAGAATTATTGCGTCACAAGTAAAATCATAGATGAAATCATAAAAACAAGTGCGTAAAAATTAAATATAAGTGTCAACGATAACGGATTAACACTGTTTGAATAATATAAAATGAATGACATTTGTGACAGTCTTCATTTCGCGCAAAGATGCTACTGATGCGTGTAAATGTGTTAACAGTATATATTTTCGTGACGTTAAGGATTATTGGACGATCGATCAGCGGCAACGACGCGAATTCATCAAATAAGCGTTAATAACGCTCAAATATTAAATTATACGAATGACCGTAGACTTAAGAATCTGGCTAATGAAGCCAACGACGTTGCGCGGTCTCTAAAGTCGGAAAAGGAGATGTAATTAAAGGACTTACGAGCTAACGAAGGTCGGAAATGAATGGCTCGTTGATAACTCAAAATCGCCTCGTCGTAATTCTTTCTGCCCTGTTGTAAGATGCCCCTGTAACAGAGAAACAAAGTTTCTTGTTAATATACATTCTACCATTTTAATATAAACCATAACGTTTTATATATATCATTATAGTTGTTATTTCTACAAAGAGAAAAGATTAGTCGAAGGATTGGTAAATATATCAAATTAAATAATATTATTCTCGACGTTAAGAAAATCGACTATTAACAAAGCAAATTAATTATACAATATACCTAATATTTTTGTACTATTATGATATATTTCAAGTTTAAAAAGAGAAAAGGAGAAGAGTCAGCAATATAATATCTCAGCAATATAATATCAAAATGTCAAACATCCAAAGTTTTCCATCTCTTAGACAGTGAGCGATTAATCTTCTCTCGAAGGACGTCACTTTCAGAAGCGATATAAAAATATTACTTGAGAGAGAGAGAGAGAGAGAGAGAGAGAGAGAGAGAGAGAAAGAGAGAGCAATGACTTATCGCACGTGTGGTCGCCTCGTTTTACGCGGTGGGATTAAATTGCGAGCGCAATAAGCGGTTATTCGTAGTACCCAATATATAAACAGGGATAGGGAAACTCTTTCGCGGAGCTACATATTTTAAAAAGAACTCACCTCTTCGGCATTGAGGTGATTAATCTTCCGGGATAAGTTGTCATTCGAAAAACGATGAAAATATCACTTGTCGACAAGTGAAGTATAGTCGACCGGCCGGTGGGTGGACGACTTGCGCAAGCACTGTCGCTGATATATTTTTCTCGTCGCGCGTTATCGAAATCGGACTGGACGATATGGCGCACAGTTATTTTTCTTACCTCGCGTGTTGCGTTATTTTTCTTACTTCCCGACTGGAGATCAGAGTCAAGCGGAATTTTACACGAGAGTCCATATCGGAGCTCGGAAAATATTTGTGCTTCGCATACCGTATCTTCTATCATATTTTTCAAATTATTACAACAAAATAGGATTATACTTTACATATGTTATATATTATTTAGGTAGTATCTATTTCCGCAAGTAAAGAAAAAGAGAAAATGAGATGTTAGTCCGTATACGCGTCTATGATGATTTATTATGGAGATTGTTTATAAAGATTCGCGCTGATTCGCGCTGATTCGCGCTTCAAAATCTCGACCGCGTGAACTTTTCTAACGAAGCGCGTTGCGTTTACAATTTGAATTGGCTCGTAAATTACTGAGTGAACAAAGTTTGCTGTGCATTCCACTACGGTGCATTTCTGCACCTCACGCGAGAGACTATATTGCCTTTTTCACCAGGCTCGTTAATGTCGAGATATAAATTAACGTCAGCAAAATTCTCCGACAGTCGCTGAATCTTCACGGGTTAATAATTACTAGAAATCTCTTCGCTTATTTCGAGGCATTTGTAAAATGTCTCCCTCGTTTCTCAGAAACAATTTGTTGTCAAAATTACGGATACGTTTAACGCGCAAACCAAACCTTCGCGTCGACGCGACGCGACGCGACGCGACGCGACGTAGCATCGAAAAAAATTATACTAATGAGGCGCTTTGTGAGCCGACGACGAGCGACGAGCGACGAGTTAAAAAAAAGTGAAAATGGCGGAGGAAGAGGAACCGAGGCACGAGATATTTTCTTTTCTGGTGCGCGATCCGGTAGGATGAAGAGAATCCCTGTTCGTTAACGAGCCGCTACTCTGCGTTCGTTAACTTTCAACAAGACGAAGATTCTTGCGTATACATATACATCCGTCACTTTGCCAACTCCTTCTCTTGTAACAATCTCCAATTTGCGCTAATTTGCAATTATACTAGCATTTTGCTTAATTTGTCATTCAATTCTCCAACTATTTACAAATCATATATTGCGGCGATTTAGTAAACTTTTCTCTTCTAAGTATGTAAATCATATTCCAAACATATAACAGAGGATCGAAGGAGATCGCATGAATAAAATTAACACTTTGGGTTATTACAATAAAGTTTCTTTTTATAATAGATTAACAATTAATTCGTAGAAAGTGTTAATCACCATGACTTTGATTGAAAGCGCAGTCAATAGTTTGATTGTGAATTCCGGCAGATAAATTTAAATTTGTAAAAAATAAATAAAATACAATAAATCCGATTTCTATGATAGTAAAAGCTAATTGTTAAAGCTTTTACAAAAATTCTTTTCAGATTTTTATACAGTGAGGATCAAATATAAAATTTGCACTGAAGCTCGAAGACCTGATTAATAGAGAACGCAAAATTCCACATTTCGCCAACTTTCGTCTGTTTTACTGATTAAACAATAATAATTTTCGTAGAATGATATCGATATTATTTTTAGAGATTTGAAAATCATTTTTCAGAATTAAAGTATAATACTGGCATGAAATGCCAAGAATGATAAAAATTTTTTAAATTGAGATCCTTACTATTTCTTAGTTCAATATGACGTCTACAATTGTCAAGTCGTGATAACATTTGCTTAATATAATAATAAAAACAATCTAGACTTACAAAATTATAATTCACAGGTAGTATAATTGACTGGTAGTTTACATTTTACTCGAACAAAACAACGTTGAATTCTTAAAATTAGACTAAAATTCGATACGAAAATGTATTACGAAAATTTATGCAAATTTGTGCGTGCAATATAAATGTAATACAAGAATGTGTATTTATAAATATATTTGTTAAATCGTATGGAATTCGCATTTCATTGATAAAATAGCGATGCTATTAGAGTTCGGTTTTTAATTTGAGATCCTCTTAAGGAGATAATTTTTGAGAGATAAAAAATTTAATTATCTATTAAATATCATTATCAAATCGCGTCACGTACGGCTAAACCGCGACATGCTTGTTATTAGTGACACACAAAGACATTCTTAGTGTCAATGACCTGCTTAACAGCATAAATATGTCAAACATTAAAAATTAATAAAATAAAAAACGACACGATAACAATTGTACTTCACTAAAATCTATTTTTTATATTTGCGCTTTCTAATTACATTTGTTTTGTTCGTGTTTATGCTAAACTATTTACTTTAAAACAATTAATATAAAACGAAACACAGTAAAATAAACTTTATTAAACAAATGAAATTTTTTTATTTTCAATGCAAGAGAAGAAAGTATAACTAAGGGTACAATATTTATTGTTTAATTCTCAGCCATATTAAAAGAGTGCTAAAGATTTCGCGAACCTCCATGCTAGATAAAAGGATTAGCTACCCCTAATTTACTGCGTAGTCGTATGTAAAAAATTTCTTGTTACAAAATTGATAAAGTTATAACGGATAATGTAAGCATGTATACGATAAACAAATGCGTGCAAGTCAAGTGCGTTTGCATGTTTTTCTTAATATATGTAGCTATATTTTGTCAAAGTTTGCACGATAACTTGGCTACATTCTTTTATAATATTTTTAAATACAAATTTATATGAATATTCTTATCATTTCCTATCATTTCTTTATATATTTATATTTTCTCAAGACGTTTTTTAAATCTATATTTTAAATTAATTTTTATTTTATAAAATAAAAAACGGACTTTAATGACAAACATCAATTTCTATCTTAAAATAATCCAAAAAAAGTTATTTAAAAATAAGAAAAAGTTATTTAAAGATAAGAATTCTAGAATTGTAACTACGGCGCTATCTTGTAAAAAATTTTTTTCGTTATAGGAATGTTTTTGGATTATTTTAAGATAGAAATTGATGTTTGTCATTAAAGTCCGTTTTTCATTTTATAAAATAAAAATTAATTTAAAACAAAGATTTATACGATTCTTCATATCAGATTACTGTACAAATGTAAATTATGCATGCAAACTATGGAAATGTGTATTAATTATAAGCAAAGCAGCAATGATGGATGCTATATTAATTCCGTATGAAAAATAAAAAATAAATTTTTTTTATTAAACATTATTGTTATACAATTATGGAATAAAACGGGATAATGCTTCGACAGAAAACATGCTTCATAAATATAAGAAAAATTACAATTCTTTCGAATAATTTGTCGTCTGGTAGGTGCCAACGTCTGTTCTACAGACTCACAAAACAATCACGCGTCACGAGTTTTGTATCGAAAAAAAATTAAACTGATTCTACATTAGTCACATTGTACTGTCGCAAGCGTTGCAATCCAACCAAAATCGAATTAGCTTGATGTTGCTTGGACCGTGACGTTTGTGACATGCTTATGATACTGCGATGCGACTAAAGAACTAGCTTAAGAAAAATAGGAAATTCCACAAACGAAGATTGAAATTTTTGCGGTAAGTTTTTTTCAGTATACTTCAGTTATGAGTATTTTTTACAAAATTTCGTTGTCTCATGTTATTAGGTGTTGGAATTAATTCATAGCGTTTTACAAGTGATGGGAAGTACTTTCATTAATGTATTTTTTAATGCTCATGTGAAATAAATAACATTCTTTCATTAAAAAACGCTACGAATTAATTTCAACACCTAATAATACTATAAAATGAAATCTATACAATATGCAATCATTTTCCATTATTAGTTTGTACTGGCTAGTATCTACAACAATAAAGCATATTATATCTTGAAAATGTAAAAACGCCCTGCAAATAATTTTAATAGTCCAACAAAATTATTTTCACCAGATCTATATCTAGTTAAATTTTTAGATAAACTTAAAGCATATATATTATGTTTGCGTCTTGCAAAAGCTTAAAGTATGCACATACATAAATCAACAAAGACCATTTTATATCGAAGTAAGATTTTAGAAACTCTCATATACATTACTTGTCCGATATTTTGTACAGATAATTCTTGTGAAAGAAACAGAATAGGAATATGTACAATATATTACTGCCTACCATGCCATTTTACTATGTCCTATTTTACCAGACGCTCATTTTTGTTTATTTTACAAAAAAAGTAATTATTGCAAAATAGCAAACAATATTGTAAAAACTGTTACATTATCTGATAACATACTATCTGGTTTGTATTTTTAAAATTTTATTTTTAGTTTTTTGTTTCAAAAGTATATCTAAAAGCAAAGA